CATGCTGACGTTCCCTAAATAAATGAATGGGTGTGGTCCAGGGAGCAATGAATCAGGCCAAGGGCCTGTGACTCTAAAAATAGCTACAATGATTAAGAATATGAAAAAGAATTCAGTATATAAAATACACATGTCTGTATAATTCAATCACTCTGCTGTACACCGGAAACTAACACAGCATTGTAAATCAACTATGCTTCCATTTAGAAAGGATATATAAATGAAAAGTCAATAAAATAAAAAATAAATAAATAAAAATAGCTATAGTTGAGCAATTCCAAATTCCACTCCCAGACCTGGATACCTGGGTATAAATGAATATGGACACTTGGGCCAACAGATAAGGTATTTTCTGAAACTGGAGTGAAAGGGTTTAATTTCTGTTTGTTCCCCAAGCTCTGGTTGCACATTTATTTTTAATCCAAGGAGCTGACATTTACTGAGCACTTACCATGTGCCAAGCATTCTGCTAGCATTTTACATTTAATTCTCATAACCACTTTGAAGAGTAAGTACTGAATTACTCCCGTATTTCATAGGAGGAAACAGAGACTGGGAGACGTTTAAGTAACTGAGCTTGGTCACACTAGTTGTGCACACGTCAGACCCAACATGCAAACCTGGACCTCTCCCAGGTGTTTTTTTGTTTGTTTGTTTATTTGTTTTTGTTTATTTTAGAGTAGCTTCCCATTTCCAGATCATTTTAGATTTGTAGAAAAATTGTAAAGACAATACAGAGAATTTCTCTAGACTGCCCCCCAATCCAGTTTCAATTTCCCCTGATGTCATCATCTTACTGTCCGTCCCAGGTTTGGATGGTTTTCTCTCTCCACACTGGAGCTCAAAGTGCTACATTTGTTCCTATTTAAGACGCCGAGATTGGAGACCTAGGAACTACCCGACTCTAGCCACAACCTAGGTGTCTGTCATATGCCCCCACCGAGGCTGGCTTTGTCAGCGAGCCCAGCAGCTGGCTTCATTTCCCTCCCTCCAGGGTGGGAGGAAGATGGGGTAAGAGCCGATCAGAGGGGCATCCAAGAAACACAAATCCTCAGAAAACAGTCTCTTTCCTCTAATAGAGCCCTAATGTGGAGAGGAAGGGAGCTTCAATCTAGCACAAAGCCTGCAGAACCCTTCCCAAAAAAGAGAAGGGAGTGCAAATGACAGAGAACTTGCCTGAATACCTTCCTGCTCCCTGGGACATGGATCAGAGGGTCCCAGCCTGCCTTCTGGTGTCAGAGAGTGATAATAGCCTTCGAGAAGTCACCAGCCACGTGTAGGGTTGCCTCTAAAGAATGATCTTTTCATCTGAGTTCCTTTGACTGTGACTCGGAACTCACACAATGTAAGGGTCCTGGTGACCCAGGGACTGAACTTGGTCATCCTGCAGTCATGCTGTGCTTTTGAGCACTTGTATCAAAAGATGTGCCAAACAGAGAGAGGAAGATAAAAACTAACCCCTGGCCGCTGAGACGTAGTCATATTTAATATTGGCAGAAGAGTATACGCTATTCAATCTACAGGGTTCAAACCTCTGCTGAAATAAATCTGGCTCATCTGTAATATTTTTGATGTTCTACATGTGAGATGCACTATTTTTGTGATGAGGAAAAACAACAAAAAGTGTATTTTAAGGAGATGAAGTTGCGGGTGGGGGATGGCTCAGTGGTAGAGCGTGTGCTTAGCATGCAGGAGGTCCTGGGTTCAATCCCCAGTACTGCCATTAGAAAAATAGATAGATAGATACACAAACAAACCTAATTACCCCCAAAAATAAGAATTAAAGAGATGGGGCACATGGGCAGCTCTATTGGCCTTCCCAGCAGCTGCTGAAAGTAGCTGACTGACACAGGTAAGTACAGATTAAATTTTGTACAAGGTAATTCAACTTCTGTATGAAGCTGACCTAGAGCCTCCTAAGCATGAGACCTGCGGACTTGGACTCACTGCCTCGCTCTAAAACCCCTGCGCACGAGTGACCTAGAGGGGGCCTCTGAAGGGTCCTTCCCGTCTGGCTGTAGGTGGGCACCGCCAGCAGCACGCCCGGGCTGTCACTGAGCCGTACCTTGATCTTCATGGTGCTGGGTGCGAGGGCCGTGATCTCCTTCTGCATGCGGTCGGCAATGCCGGGGTACATGGTGGTGCCCCCAGAGAGGACGTTGTTAGCGTAGAGGTCCTTCCTGATGTCGATGTCGCACTTCATGATGCTGTTGTAGGTGGTTTCATGGATGCCAGCGGACTCCATTCCTGGAAGAGAGACACAGGCCATGGTCCTCAGGTGGTGAGTGAAACCCAGCTTGACATGGAAGACTAGACGTGAGCAACTGGACGATCGTACACTGGGCTGGAGCGAGGCAGGCATGATGCTCTAAGGACTGCCCATCTCGGGGACCAATAGGTCCTCGTAATGCCCCCATCCTCCTACTCTAGGCAGGAGGCCCTACTACAGCAGCTCTGGGAGGGTGGGGGGCTACAACATCACACCCCCCATTTTTAATAGACTCCCTTCGATATATGGTTCAAATAAGAATCAAAGCCAGCAGACTGCCTGCAGAAGATCCCATGCTGAGCCAACGTCTCAGCCGTTGCTCAGGAGTCTGCTAGGTCTCTCTCTGGCTGTCTTGCTCTCACCCTTTCAAAGTTACATGGTGCCGAATCATCCAAAAATGCTTCACTTTATTTGGACAAAGACTCAGTTTTCTTCAATCTTGATAATGTTTTTCGGTCTGAACTTCTTGTTAATTTCTGACCTGGGCCTTTGGAAAAGAACCTGCAGCCGGCCCTTCACCTTTTGCTGTTTTGTGATGTAATCCTCATAATGCTTAGTGATCAGTTATCGCCAACACACAATAATTGCTGAGTTCCCGCCTCGGCCAGGTACGGGGCTAGGCGCCCCACACATCTCAGGTAACCCTCGCAGCCGCCTATGACGTAGGTGCTCTGACAGTCCTCGTGGTTTAGATGAGGACACTGGGGCTTCAGGAGCCGGGGTCACAAAAGGACCCAAGCCCAGCATCCCCCCTCCCAGAGCCGGCGCTCTGTAAATAACCATGCTAACCTGCCTCCCAAGGTCAGTGCTAACGCAGGCATGGGCATTTCCATCTTCCTCTCCCCCACGCTCCCCACACTCAGCATCAGTCACCCTTCCCATCCATCCACTGTGTCCTAAACACAGACGAAGTCTGATTCCTCCACCGTCTACAGATACCAAGGATGCTTCTGGCTCGACTACAGCATAGATAATGTCTTCTTGCAAAGAAAACTCCTTTTCTGGTCTCCTTAAGTCTTCTCCCCTGAAAAATGTAACATTCTTTCTCTTCCCCTGGTGTAGACATGCTGTGGTTTTGCGGCCCCTGTCACATGTCCTCACAGGCAGAAGGGCACTGGTGGCCGAGGGCTGGCTGGGTCCAGGAGGAGAGGGCACCATCCTGGACCCAGGGGCAGGGCATGGCCGCCTACCGATGAAGGAGGGCTGGAACAGGGTCTCAGGGCAGCGGAAACGCTCGTTCCCGATGGTGATCACCTGCCCGTCAGGCAGCTCGTAGCTCTTCTCGAGGGAGGAGGAGGACGCAGCAGTGGCCATCTCATTTTCAAAGTCCAGAGCTACGTAGCACAGTTTCTCCTTGATGTCTCGGACAATCTCACGCTCAGCTGTCAACGAGAAACAAACATGGCAAACCTTAGGGTTGGCACAGGTGGTCAAAATCCACCTGCCTTACATCACCGTCTCCTACGATACGGATTCCCTCCAAAAAGGGTACAAGTTGGATATTCTGCAACTCCCAACCCAGGAAGGCAATTAAATTATAGATCCACGAGGGAACCACTTCTGTTCCTAGCAGAATGCCTCACACATAGAAGGTTCTTAGCAAATATTGTCTGGAAAGTGCACAAGACAAAGAAAATGAGCTAGCTAGAGCCAGGCAAAGAGCAGGAAATACTTTTGTCCATTAACTTTTTTGCACAATGAACTAAACAATCTCTGTTATAATTGCTTTATAACAGTTTGTTATGTTGGATTTTCAGTTGACCAGGGAGAGTCACACTGAAGCAGCCCCATAGCGGCCTTGACGGCTTTCCAAAGGCTCCAGAGAACCGTGTGGTCTGGCCCAGGTAGATTCCAGCTCAAACCCTTGGCAAATCCATCACCTTCCAGAAAGAGGCAGACCGTGGCTCTGGACCAGTCCTAATCTAGAAGGCTCCAGTGGTACGTGTAAGAAGTGGGCAGGCAGACTCCTTTCAGACCCCTGTCCTCTGAAGTTCTAAGCTATTGGTTCCATCTGGGCCCCTGGGGGCCTTTCGGAGATGTCTGGGAATTCTTCATAGGGAGCAGAGGAGGAATAGAATGCATTCAACTCCCTACTCCAAAAAAAAGGAGATTTTAACATCTTCAGGGTTCAAACTTGAAGTCCAGAGTAAACCTCAGGCATGTCCAGAAACCTAAACACCTGGATAAGGCCAAATCGGTGAGGGCAGGGCAGGCAGGTAAAGCCAAGGGCACTGAGGACGTCCTGATGTCCCCAGTAACATCTGCCTCTGCCTCTTGTAGACAGAGACCAGGTGGCACCATTTTATAGCTTGAAGACAAACATCTCTGCCTGCTGAGTTGTTACTAATATTCACTGACAAGCACTGCCCGCTTCCTCGGCTCCAGGAACTCCACAGGCATGGTCTCGCTACTCGCAACATTCTTGCAAGAGGCTCTGCGATTACTTGTTTTCCAGATGAAGAAGCTATGGATTAGTGAGTTTGGGCATCTTGTCAAGGTCACACAGCTGATGAGTGGCAGAATTGGGACCCCAGCCCTCAACCAATCTCTACTGCTGGAGACTACCAATCACCTCCCTATACGAACTTCAGCTTCTGCACTCTCTTGTGTGTGTGCATGGAAGGGATTAGAAAATGTTCGAGTAATACAACTCTGACCAACCCATAATACTAGATGGTTCTAACTGTTCTTCTCAAGGAAACTGTGTAATTGGTTTGCAATTTCACCTAGCAAAATATGCCGCAACTTGCCCTGGGCATTAAAGTCAGGTCTTGCCATCTGCAAGACTCCTTCCCACTGTTTCCTGAGACAGTCCTGTAAATTACTGGGAGAACACCCCAACCCTACCCCACCCTCCACCCTTCATCTCCCATTGGCCTCACCGGTGGTCACGAAGGAATAGCCACGCTCGGTCAGGATCTTCATGAGGTAGTCAGTGAGATCTCGGCCAGCCAGGTCCAGACGCATGATGGCATGGGGCAGGGCATAGCCCTCATAGATGGGGACATTGTGGGTGACACCATCTCCAGAGTCCAGCACAATGCCTAGGGGACAATTGGACACAGTAAACGTCACCACGGCAGCTGGTGTGTGGTCACTCATTGGTCTAGTAGAAGAAAAATTTCTAAGCCTCTTACTTGAAAGGAAGAAGGAAGGCATTTGATAGGATAGGAAAGGTGGGGCAGGTCTGGATAAAGAAAAAAAAAGAACAGGAAGAGGGAAACAATAGCACAAGTCCTGCTGGAAACAAGCTCAAGGGCTTATTTTTAGAAGTAAGAAGAAGACTTCCTAGGACTGGGGTTAGCCCTGTCAATTCCAGCAAACTCCTAGTGCATCACCACCCACGTGCCTATAAACCATGAATCCTGCCCCTGATGGTGTGTTCGAGTGAGGCCCTCATCCCTCCCAGCCACCTACCAGTTGTACGTCCAGAGGCGTAGAGGGACAGCACCGCCTGGATGGCCACATACATGGCTGGGACATTGAAAGTCTCAAACATAATCTGCAAAGTAATCCAAAGAGCTGTGTTAGTGATGCTGCCAGTCTTACTAAGAAGGCTCAAGAGAGCACACCATGTTGATGAAGGCAGGTGGGCCTGCCTGGTTCTGGGTAGCGGAGGGCCAGGACAGCCTTGGTCCCTGGTGGAGAAGAAATGATGGTATAAGTAGAGAGACCATTGTATGGGTGACCTAGTGGCATGGAGAGGGGCAGGGGCAGTGTGCACACATGCTCGCCGGGACTAAGGAGGGTCTAGCTTTTGGCCCTGGCCCTGACTTGAATGTGACCTGGGAGAATTCACCAAACTAACAGCTGACTCATGTGGGCTTCATTCCAGGTCCCTTGACTGCATATGGAGGAGGAGTTTGGACCAGATGAGTTTGAAGGCTCCTCCAGTGTGAACCATCTGGGACTTACTACTGTTATTGAAGCCAAAAGAAACGGAAAAGAGAGTATCCAGGTGTAAAAAGACAGGCCTTTTAAACCCGAAGCTCAGACTGGCTGGGACTGACCCAGCTCTGTGGGCTGAATGAGGCTCCAGTTCATCTGTCCCACTTTTTTTATGTAGTTGCTGGGTCCATGCCAGCCCGAGAATCTGAGGCCACCCTGGCTGCAGTGAGGGAGCCCTGATTCCTGGAAGGGAACTGCCAGCAGGTAACAGCGAACCAAGTATGAATGTCAATGTGGCCACTCACGTGGCCCAGGGACACAATTGGAATCAGAGCCTCTCCCGCACTAGGTCCCACACTAGAAATCTGTGCACACTGAGATGCCTACAGGCCTCCATTTCTCCATCTGCAAAACCCTCCCTGGTCTATTAACCCAGTTACCTAACATCATTTTCTGCATGGGCATCATTCCCAACTATTTTTCACCATTTCACAGGAACAGTAGCACCCATCAGAAACACATCTTGCTGTGTGAGCCCTTCCCAGGCACACAGATGGTCCCCTGTAGGGGTGTAGACACCCAGAGCTCTTCCGAGGAGAAGGCCCTGCAACACGTACATTGATTATTCCCCAAGATCAAAAGATCAGGGGCCAGGGCCAGGCTCAGCCACATCTAGCTGTGTGACCTTGGAACAATCACCTCCTGTACTCGAGTCTTGATTTCTTAATTTATTTATCAAGATAATACTAGCTCCTGCTTCATGGTGTTAAGATTGAAAGAGACAATGCGTGTAAAATACTTGGCCTGGTGCTTAACCACAGCAAGCACGGAATTGACACTACATGTATTTATTTGGCAGCTCATCCAAACTGGAGACCTTGTCTGGCTGATGGAATGGATGGTCTCCTGCTCCAAAGTCTTGGAGCTTCAGACAGGTCACAACAATGACAATAATAACTATTTGTTGAAAATTTATTATACCAGGTACCAGGAAATACATTTAGCATTTGCCTCTTTAATCTTTACATCAATTCTTTGAAAAATAATAGTACTAATATTACTCCCAACATATGGACAAGGAAACTGAGGCTCTGAGAAATGAAGTGGATTTTCTTTTTTCAAGTCACATAGCTGATAAGTGACAGATTGAGTTTTCAAACCTCCAGAACCCAAATTCCCCATTTCATGTAATCCAGCATTTTGAAATGACTTCTCCTCAAATGATTTTAGCCTAAATATGTCACCTTTTCAATTAAATCTTGAAAACGTCCTATGGCTCTTGGAGCTAAGCGGCTAGTTCCTACAGTAAGGATGTCAATGCCATCAAGATGTCCCTATCCTTGGGAATCCTGGAAAGCTGTCAGCCTGTGAGTGGACTGTCGGTGGCCGTCTCTCTGCTGTCCTGCACAGCTCCTTTCAAACAGGACTCCCCCCAGGCCCCAAAGTGCTGGGTTTTGGAGTAGATATTTACCTGAGTCATCTTCTCCCGGTTGGCCTTGGGGTTCAGGGGCGCCTCGGTGAGCAGGGTTGGATGCTCCTCAGGGGCAACGCGAAGCTCATTGTAGAAAGAATGGTGCCAGATCTAACGTGGGCAGAAGAGAACACAGTGATGTGATGCAGTGGGGCACTGCCGTCCTCCAAGAGGGACCACACTGAGCTCATGAAGCCAAGACCCAAGAAAGTGCTACGAATACCCTTATGTGTCCACGTTTTTAAAGACGCGGAGACTGAAGCCCAAAGGCTGTAGGTAATTTACCAGAGGAGTCACACCCGGTGACCGAATGAGCAAAATCCCAAACCCGGGTCTAGGAGGCAGGATGAGGCAGTGGTTAAGGGCAGAGGCTCCGGGTTCAAATCCCAGAGCAGCCACTTCTTGGTTTTGTGCACGTAGGCAAATTTTAACCCTCCCCAGTGCCAGTCTCCCTATGGGGAATATAAAAATAATTTGTATGTCTTTGTGAGAAGTAAGAGTTACTATTTAGCCCAGTGCCTGTTATTATTCTTCAACTGTATCTTCCTTACTCCCTACTTCCACTTCAGTTAATATTCATGGGCAAATGATTTAGTTTAGCAAGTAAAAGGGCAAATGAATAAATACGTGAGTGGATGAATAAAGCTACTTGAAAACCTTGTTGCCCTTTTTAATATTTAAGGGAAATTTCCCTGCCCTCCACTCTCTCTTTGTTCTCCAGCACTCGGGGGAGCCTGCCTCCGTTGGTACACTTTGGACCTTCCATTCATGGGCTGACATTTGGCCTTCAGGGGTTTCCAAAAAACCCAGTGCCTATTTACAGCATGTCTGTGTGCTATACTTTAGACCTACGTGCGCCTGCTTCCTGTTTGAGCATGCTCTTTAATCCCTGGATGCCACAAAGGAAAAAAGCATGTGAAAAGGGCTCAGTGAATTAATTATTTTTAAAAGCCTGATAATAACATATAATGGAAAAGAATCTGGAAAGAAAATATGTATATGTATGTATGATTATGTATAATTGAATCACTTTGCTGTACACCTGAAACTAACATTATAAATCAACTACACTTCAATTTAAAAAAAAGAAACCCTGAAAAGTCTCCACTAGCACCAGAAATGTTAAATTCATCCAGAGTGAAAACAAAACCAAAGAACTGCTCAAGAAAGTTTATTCATGAACAAAGGCTAGATCAACTTTAAGGACTCTTTATCTTGTTCCAGTTTCTTTGGTTTTGAATTTGTGGTTTCTAGAAAGGAAATGAGACTCCTGAAAGTTCTACTCCTTCGATGGAGTAAAAGCAGCACAGTGCTCAAGAAATTTTTTTAAAAGTGAAGAAAAGAAAAGCAATTCTGTCAGTCGCATCATATACTGTGGGTACCCTGAAGCATCATTTAAAAAACAACCAATCGATCTCTCTCTCTCTCTCCTCCCCTTCTCTCTCTAACACTTTAAATGATAGAATGCTTTTATTTGTTCCAAGGATCTTTCTCCAGGCACATTCCTTCTGAGATGCTGCCAGCTCCAGGGAGAAACTCTTAAAAGAGTATTTTCCCACTGCTATTAATATCTTCTCCTCAGTGCAAACTGCAGTCCTTTTTTTTTAAATGGAAGTACCAGGGATTGAACCCACAACCTCATGCATGCTAAGCATCAACTCTACCATTGAGCTATACCCCAGACCCCCCAACTGCAGTTTTAACCAAATCCAGAATCTTAGACTAAGTAAACCTAATGAAACAATTTTTGTGGAGAAGCAGAGGTTTCAGCATTATTACTGATAATAAATAGCAACACTGTTTTCTTTTAAACTAGTGTGTGTGTGTGTGTGTGTGTGTGTGTGTGTGTGTGTGTGTGTGTGTGTAGCTGATATATAAAAGTCCAGATATTCTGGTTCTAATGTGTTTTAATGCATTTTTAAAATTTTATGCCACTTTCTCATTATTCCTTCTGCTTACTCTGATCACCTATGTTCCTATGAAGCCTAACAACAAACATCAAAACCCTCGGATTTAGCTCTTCTCCTCATTAGCTCTTTGATATGGGTCTGGGAGATAAAGACTTAGTGCAACCCAGGGAGATTTTTTTTTTTAAGATTTATTTAAAACTTTTGTCAGTTGCTTGTGCGTCAGTATGTTGAGGGACCTTCAGGAATGTACCACATCCACAATGTCACAGCCCCGTTTCTATACTGAAAACTAAAAACCTTTATATATATATATATATATATATATTTTTTTTTTTTCTTCAAGTGAGTTAATGGAAAACTTTCAAGAGCTGGTGGGTTAGGGTTCCTCCTAAGCAGTTAGCCTGAGCCCCTTGGGCTCCTGGCTGTTGCTCATACAAGGTCCTAGGGGGCAATCCCACTGGCTGAGCAATAGACTTAATTCCCACCACTGTCTAAGGACTGCTGTTCTCATCTGCAGAACCATCTCCCTCTAATTGGTTTATAAATCCTGTTAGGCAAGTTTTGTTTTTGTTTTTGTCTTTTTTTTTAAGAAACGGTTCAGGATTTCTTTTTTTTAGTTAGTAATAATGTAGAATAAATATCAACAAATAAAAGTACAACTGGGCAAAGTGGGGCAGCTCCTTTACGCAGACTGACAAGATGTTCAGAGTTGGGAGCCACAGGAATGGCGCCCCCTGTGGCCTCAGCCTGCAGAGTCATGAGCCACAGGAATGGCGCCCCCTGTGGCCTCAGCCTGCAGAGAAGCCCTGGTACCTTCTCCATGTCGTCCCAGTTGGTGATGATGCCGTGCTCTATCGGGTACTTCAGGGTCAGGATTCCTCTTTTGCTTTGTGCTTCATCGCCCACGTAGCTGTCTTTTTGTCCCATTCCCACCATCACCCCCTAAAAACGGTTCAACACATTAGGAGTCAGCCTCCCTCCCTTGTGAACTGATCACAATCCAAGCACAGAGGGTTAAATCACCACAACAGAAACCAGTCAACAGTGTGCGGAGTTCTACTGCCACTAGGCTCTTAAGCAACATCCCTTGGTTGATTAGAAA